TAACCCGGCTTCTTGCTTCTTTATTCACTTCATTCTAACGGACACAAACTCACACAAGGGGTCGTTTGGTAGACTACCGTAATCTTTGCGTTGCTATTAGCACCGATGGCGCGGCGCGAATATTTATAATTGCGGTGAATATAATGTTGACTTTCTCAGCTTGGCGCTTTTATCTTCGCTCACTGCTATGTTTCCACAGCATCCCACAAGCGCCACAATTTTTTTGTATGACCAATCACTGCAACATCGCTCGCTCCCATAACATTGCCTATCATTCCATTATCGCCGTCATTACTATCTCTCTATGTTTCTGCTTGTTCGTGATGGATCTCACAATACTCCCTACGGCCACGTCGATGCAACGTTACAACTCTCCACTACAAAAACGAATTTTCTCATATTCATCCATAGATCGATCCTCCCTCAAAATTCGCTGGTCTGGCAGAAGAAACAGTCACTGCCGAAGCTCCACCTCACGCTTACATCGCCAAATACATTGACAGGGCTTCATAGCCATCGCTTTCGTTCGCTCCCTTCTCGCAGAACCTTTCGTTGGCCATCCTTCACCAACAAATGAAGTGCCTCTCCTTGAAATAACCAAAATTTAGGTTCCCTCTCCTTAATTCTAATCATAAGTGAAAGGACAGATCCATGCTGAAAAATGCCGCGAGCCATCCGAATTTTACAATCTAATTGCGACTTATCGCTGAATCAAGTCGAACGAGAAGATCTTCTTTTCGTAGAAGCCCGCTCTAACGTCTTCTGTGCAATACGGTTCGCACATCGAGCGATATCAGTCTCTGCACAAGAATATTGACCAACCCCTTTGAGCCCTTTAGCAAACTACCCAGAATACTGTCCCTTGAAGTCACCAAGATGCTTGAGCACTTCCAAAGGGTCTGCGACTGTATGGGAGCCTTCACCAGCAACGTTGACTGGCTTCGATTCCTGTATATCTCGAACTACAGCTGCTGAATCCCTTTGGGCGAGGATCCGACCTTCGAGGCGAGTGGGCGTTGCGGCGGTTTTGGCGCAACCCCACTCGCCTCGATTTGCCCTTCGAAGGCGTTCAACTCCCTTTCTAGCGGCTTTCCAAGGTGAGTTTTTTGTTCAGTGACACTTCTATGTTCTTGACTAGGGCTAGCGCATCATTCCACATCACATTAGTAACGAAGGTAAGAACTCGGCTAGAACCGTTTCTTTATTGAGTTCACCTTGCACTGATCCTCGCAGTTTCCGTACCTAATTAATGTTTCTCGCACCTATGGTGCGAATGTTTGACTTCGTACTATTATTTTCACACCCACACCGCATCTGCAAAAGTCAAAAAGCACTTAAAGGCTGCAAAAATGACTTCTCTTCTCACCGACAGAAGTATTGCGCGGTCCGCAAGAAGTGATCCAAGTCTTATTGCGGCTGAAATCTGCAACAAGTCTCGATGCCCCGGGGTCCATACCATCCGTAAATACTGTTTGTTCATCTGAAAGAGGCTGGTCTGTTCTGTTCGGACGTTGCCCAGTGAAGAAACCGATGACTTCCCTCAGGAATCGTAAAGTGCGTCGATTGGGCTCATGCTCACAAGAAATGGACCGTTCAGCAGAGGGAAAAGTTCACATGAAGGGACGAATCAAAGTTATGAATTTCGGGACGAAATGGATCA